TCGTGGCCGCTGCCCTTTCTTGGGTAACTTAGCACTGGTTCTCTGCCATCGCCTTTCCCTTCGGTGGTGCAATAAGCAGCTGATGACACAGTAACACCTGATGCCTGTTTGTGTTGTACAGTTGTTTGTCGCATCTCACAGCGTGCAAACCTCCTGTGGGAGTTTGAATCCTTTCTGAAATAGGAAGTAACGGTTTGTGCGAAGGACAGCATCGCTACACTGGGAATATCCTTACTTTTTGTCCAACTATTTCTCCTGTTTGCCATGATAGCGATACATCTATTTTTTCCCAGCAGTGTTCAACACTTCTGTTGCTCCTTGCAGGTATTTCTCAGTAGCAGTTTTCGGTAATCTGGTGCAGTCCCATTGGTTTTTTAATACTGCCCTTTTTGGTCAGGTTCCCCATTTCAGACAGAAATAGGATTTCTCTGCTTACAGTGAACTTTCCCTTCTCTCTCATGCCCTCCTTGCCCCTCACGTTGTTCTCCACACGTTCCTGGTGTCACTCCTGTTAAAGCAGTGGGGCCCTGTAGTGTAACAGTGAAAGCTGTGCACCTGGGCAGTGCAGCAGGGAAAGCCTGGGAAACCCTGAGCTGTGTGCAGCCATACCCACGTGTGGGCAGTAATGACCTCCTGGTTGTGGTTTCTGTCCTGCCCCGTGCCTTCACAAGGGGTCACAGGTAAATGCAGAGGTTTCCTTTGCAATGTGCTGTTGCCATCGTTACATTCAGTGCCTCAAGGAGAGCGCTGCTATCGCACGTCTTCCAGCTTGTCCAGGGGACTCCATCAGTTCCCATTCAGCTGAGTAGAAAACAAATCCTTTTTGATTAATTCATACCTCGTGTTGCATTTTGAGCTTAAAATGAGCTTTATCTTTGCTGACTGCAGGCTACAGCTCAGAGAGTGAACTGTGTGCAAGACAAAAAAGTGATGTATATGTAGTGCAAAAAATACAGATATTGAAGAAATGTATCTTAACACGTTTGTATCTCTGTGTGTTTGGTCTTCTAACCCATGTGATTCTGTGATTCCTCTCTATGAGGAAAACGTTGGGAAGACCAGGAGATGATGTGTAACAAAACTGAGGGTGATGTATGCTGGTAATCGAGGTGTTGTTGGTTGGGTGGTGAGGGAGTTGGCAAACATCTGAAAAGAGAGTGGAAAAGAAGAGAATTGCTGTTTATTTACCAGCCAGTGTTAGGATGAGGGGAAGCAGCCTGGAACTTGGAGTGGAAATGGGAGCTGGAGAAGTGCTGTGGACATTCGCAATCAGTAAATATAGTTTTAATAAGGTGTTTAGTGGTGAGCCTAAGAAATGCGGTGGGTCGCACTTACCCAGTAGGTGTATTTCTTGTACAGCTGTCTGCCTTCTCGTTGTGTTCACTTGGATTGCTCAGTGTCTGAGCTTGTCAAAGTCAAAGTGCAGTTCAGAGATGCATTCCCTATCTGCTGGGCCACTAACTGCTCTGTCCTGCTCTTTGCTTGGGATCCCTGCCTGGGAACTGCTGCGCTCCTGCTCTGAGGGATGCAATGCAGAAGGGTCTCTACAGTTTTTCTCCTCTGGAAGTTAATGTTGCATGGAGGCTTTCAGGGTTATGTTTCTCAGTCTTAGGCTTTGAAATTTTGCTGCAGATTTTCTTTTTCATCACTAAAGAAATGCTTTAGGGGCATCAAAGCTGCATGAAGCTATTAAAGAGCAGGAAAAAACACTGTTCAGATTTCCACCTACAGCTGCAGACACAGAATGTACCAGAGAACAGCAAGGTAGAGTGCTGGAAAATGCAGCCCATTAATGGGGTTTATTTTCTTTATAGCCTTACACTTAAAACTTCGGAGGACAAAGCCAGCATTTTCACTCGCAGCCCTTGAGTGCACGGCTTGGCAGGGCAGCTCAGCTCCGTGCCCTGCGGCTGCCCGGCACCCAGGAGTGCAGCAGGAGTCGTGGATCTTCACACAGCCCCGAGCCCGGAGGGGATCCGACGGCCGGGATCCCTGGGGGCGGTGGAGCAGAGCTGCGTCTGGTGGCGGGTGAGGTTTGGATTACGGAACGCCCCCGGTATGAGGTGCTGCCTCTGCCAAAGGCACTTTGGAGCGGGCTGCCTTCGCAGCGATTGTAAACTGGCCGGATTGCCAGGAACGCGTAAACAGCGGCACTGCAGGGGAGGGGGCTTCTCTTCTGGTTCCTTTTGGAGCACACACAAAAGCCCTGGAAGGGTTTTTTCCCCCAAAATAACAAACTTAAATATCTGTAATGAATTGTGTCATTTGGTTTGCCTTTAGATTCTCATTCCTTATTCGTAAGTGTTGCAAAATACGAGATTCTGAAAAGAATACCTGCGGTTGTTGCAGCGCTCTCTTGTGAAAGGAAACTGTAGCCCAGAGCGATGGGCTGCTGAGCCCATTTGGAGATGTCATTGAAGGAGCTTGGAATGCTGTTTAATTTTAGTCTTGCTTTGGAGAATTCTTTAATCTTGCTTTACGACTGCAGGTGTGCCACTCTGAACCTTGGACATGTGGAAATATGCTTTATCTGAAATTTCCGCAGGTTTTAAATTAAAATGAGTGATACTCCTTGGTTCTAAAAGAGATATTAATAAAATCTAAGCTAAACTGGAGTGTGTCTGCTTAGCAATAGCTGGTGCTCAAGTGCAAAGAATTGTAGAATCACTGAATCACCGGGTTGGAAAAGACCTCCAAGATCATCCGGTCCAGCCATCCACCTACCAGCAATGTTTCCCACTAAAGCTCATCCCTCAGTGCAGCATCTGATGCTTCTTCCGCACCTCCTGGGCTGACGACACCACTGCTTCCCGGGCCCTTGTGTTACAGATCTCTGACCTTTCCAGAAGAGCTGTAAAATTGGAATTCCAAGTCTCACACAACCCGTTTGTTTTTGTATTTCAGAAGTACCAGCAGGGCAGCTGCACTGCCTGCACTCCCGGCTTCCTGCACTGCTGTTCCTTTGGAATCATCCTCTGAAACTGATCTGAACGAATAGCATCAGTGCTTGGAGAAATGACTCTTGGAACTGAAATGCATCAAATAGGACACGGGAAGGTTTGCCATCCAACTGTAGGTATGTAACATAGGTGCCAGTGTGAGGAGCCTGCGCTCCTTATGCATCTTTAAGCAGAGCACATAACAGCAGTGGTCCCAGTCATCCTTTCCTGTCACCCATTTTCCTCAAGTCCTCAGGAGCCCATGTGAATTCCGCCCTCTTTAACCTTTCTGCCCATGTGTGATATTTTCCAACAACTAAATGGTGTCTCTTCATCGTGGCAGCAGAACTCTGCTTAACCTGCAGAGCCAGAGGAACGTGTCGAAGGGATGTGCTAGCAAGGGAACTGCATGCTGGTCAGTAAGGAGCAGTGAGCTGAGGCTCATACTGGGCTGCACTGGCAGAATAAGAAATTTTGATTTGAAGAGATGCTTTGGCCCTAATGCTGTATGCAGTACAATGTGCAGTACAACACGAATGCCTTTGGAGGTGGTGGTTGGTTAAGGGCAAGTGGGATCTTGTTCCACTTCGTGCATCTTCACCAGAGCTGTTGCCCAAGTTTCATTATCAAGTACTCCACTGGTTTTCTCAGACCACAAATACTGCTGTTTCTTGGTGTTCTGGAAATGCTCCTATCTCAGATCCTGCCTGTAGCCAAGAGCAAGCAGCCAACCACGCACTGGTGGCACAGCAGGCCTGCAGTGCAGCTGTATTTGTAGGAGTGAGGTGTGCTGCAGGCACAGCTGTGTGCTCTGACAGCTCAGCCTGCAGTGCTGCGTCCATCGGGGAAGCTCCAGCATCTTGTCAGTGACTTTGCTGGTGCTTGTGACTCATTTTGAGCGCTGGGTAGGAGTGATGGTTTATCCTTGCCGTTCTGTGCCATGGCTTTCACGTGTAAGAGTGCTATTGGGGGTGTAGGCACTAAACTCGCACGGCTCGCATTTCCCTCTTTCCCTCGTTCTTTGCCTTGAGGTGATGTCGTGAGTGATAGAGTTCTGGAAGCCAGTTTGTTAGCGGTATTCTGTGCCGAGGGTAATCTCAGCGTGCTCAAAGCAGCAGCACGAACGGCAGCGGGCGGTGTAAGAGCGGAGCGTTGGTGCTGCGAGCGGGGCGAGGGCGGAGCGCACCTCGTGTTGGCCGGCCGGCTCGGCTCACACGGCAGCGCGGCGCCGCCATGCAGGCAGGTGCTGCCGTTTTCATCCTGCCCGGCGCTGTGGGCACTGCGGGAATTTACGTAGCGTGGGACAGAGCGAGGTTTGGAACGAGAAGGGAAGGAGGGAGCGCGGTGCGGCACCGCCTCGAAATAACCCTCGTGTTTTCCTGGTCTGTGCTCCCACGTCTGTACGCGGGGACGGGAACGCGTTCACTCCCGGAGAACAGCTGGAATTTGTCGTGGGACAGCTTTTCTTGGAGGAAGGAAAAAGGGAGGGGAGAAAACCGCCGGTGGAGCTCGGGGCGGGACTTTCGGTGCGCCGTGCGGGGCTGCGAGTGCCGCACGGAGCGCCAGAGGGCACCGCAGCACCGCAACTCCCGGGGCTGCCGCGGGACTTCTGTTCGCCTTAACCGCTAACTGGTGAGAGGTGGTTCTGAGAATCGATCGCTGCGGGTCGATGAGGTCCTAGGGGGACCAACCGGCCGGGCCGGGAGCGGCTCTCCCGGGTGCCGCGTTGTCCGCACACGGACGCGCCCTTTGCGCGCCGGTCCGCGCTGCTCGCTGCTCGCTCCCGACTCCTCGGTGTCGCTGGTCGGCGCCGCGCGCCGGGCTGGGCGGGGGGCGCGGCCGAGAGAGCGGCCCAGCCGCCGCGGCCCCGCCCACACGGCGCGCGCGTATCCGGGCGCAGCGCCCCCTGCCCGCCCCGCGCACGTGCGCGCGGCCCCGCCCCGTCCCGCCGAGCGGGGGCCGCCGGGTGCTCGCGGCGCGGGGGCGGGGCCGTGACGTCAGCGCTCCGCTCCGCCGCTCCGCCGCCGCGGGCGCCCGCACCGTGAGGTCATCGCGCGGCGCGGCCCCGCCGGGAGGGGAGGAGCGGCGGCGGCGGCAGCATGGCGGAGGCGGAGGCGCCGCGGGTGGGCGCGTGGCTGCCGGTGCTGGTGGAGCAGGTGGTGAACGACACGCTGGTGGTGACGCTGCGCTGCGGAGAGCGCCGCTTCGCCGGCGTGCTGCTGGACTGCAGCAAGAAGTACGGCGGGACGGGGGGGGGGGCGGGACGCCGGTGCGCGGCGGGAACAAAGCGGCGCGGGGTCCCGGGGCCGCCGTCCCGCCACGTGCTGCCGGCCGCGGCCTGCGGGGGTGCGGGGCGTCTGCGCGAGACCCCACCTGAGCCCCTCCCCCCCCCGGCCGCGGGCGCCGCACCCGATGAGCCTCGCGGGGCCGGGCCGGCCGTGTGCCCGCGCCGTACGGCGTCCCGCTCGCCGGGCCCGGCCCCGCCGGGGATGCGGCGGGCACGGAAGGAGGTCGGTAGGTTCGGGTTCCGCCGCTGCGCAGGACGGCTGCCCCGCGCCCTCCCGCCCCGCTCCGTGCCGCCGCCCGGCGGAGGTGACCCCGAGCCGCCCTGCAGGCCGCGCCGCGCCGCCACGCGCATTCCCGCAGCGCCGGTAGGGGTGCCGCGCTCGTGGAGGTGCGGTGGTGCGTTCGGCTGAGGTCGGCGCCTTTGCTGACGGAACCGATTTTGTTGCAGCCGAACCCCCTGATGGGTCGATATTAATTGTGTGCGAGTATAAATGGAAGGACGGAGTTTCCCGCTCCGAGGGTGGAGGGGATCCACCCCACGTGGCTGTGTGCGCCCCGAGCTGGGGGGGATGGGATGGGGCGCCCGGCCCGGCAGTGTCTGCAGTGCACGGTGCCCGCCGGCCCGCAGCCCCTGCACGGAGTTGTCTGCTGTGGGCAGAGCCAGCAGCGGACACCTGGGCCCGGTGTGAGCAGCAGCCAGGCTGTGAGAAGGCCAGCGCGGTTTGTGCTTCTCCTTGCAGTAACAGCGAGCTGCTGTGGGGAAGCAGCAGTGGGTTCCTGCAGGGCGGTGTTCTGGGACGGCCAAATGGAATGGTTTTATGGCCTGAAATAACCAAAATTTATAGGCAGAGCTTTGGAGATGGTGCTACTTCCCGTTGTCCTATGAACAATGCTGACATCTTTGGCTGCACAGAGTGTGCTCGCTCCCTTGGTTGTTATTTGAGAGGTACCTGCCCTCTCAGTTGTCTCCTTGAGGACGAGCCCGAGCTCTAAGGGCAAGAACACGTTCCCAATTACACAAGCAGCCCTCCACAGATCCCCGTGACACCGACCGACACAGCGTAGCACACTGTGCTCCAGCCTTTGGTAAACCCTCTCTTTAGCATCTGGGCACTTCAGTTCATCTTTTATTTCAGCAGGAGAGGAGCAGTGACCAGGTACTGGAGTCAGATTGATTCCTCCTTGCTTTCTTTCTGTAAGCTTTGGTTTTAAACTTTGGAGTCTTCGTGGAGGTCAGGTGAGAGAGATGGTCTGTGACTGAGTGAAGGAGAGCGAAGCTGGGGCTCAGAGCGTCACCCCATCCCCTGTGACAGCCCCTCAGAGTGGTCAGAGCCCTCTCTGTGCCACCCTGAGCTGTTCCCTGCCAGCTGGAAGGGGAGCAGTGCCCGGTGAGCCCCCGTGGAGCTGCAGTCTATGGCTGCATCTGCTGCCTGGTCTGTGGCTTCTCTGCATTGCTGGGGCTTTTAGTGACTCATCCATACCTCATTTCAGAAATGGTAAAGAAGCTGAAACGCTTAAGGATCCCCACAGAAGGATTTCTGGAAAGTCAGGATAGCGAGAGATGCCCGTTCTGGTGCTGTGCGTAGGAGTGGATATTTGCTGAAGTGCTGTGCTGGCATTGTGTTGCCAAGTGTCAGGCCATAGCCAGGGATTCTGGTGCTAGAGATGAGGTGCAGTTCTGAGCTTTGGGGCCGCAGAGGAATTCCTTATGGCAGTACCTGTGCTTGGATGACACATGCTGAAATGAGGCAGTGACCGACAGTTGCTGCCCTTACCCCGGCTCTCCTGAAGCAGTGCCGTATTTGTTGTTACAAATGGTCACATATGCAAAGACGAGGGGAGGAGCAGAACTGCACCAGTGAGCCCATGGCTGGGAAGCAGGAGATGCACAGCAAAACCAGGTGCTGCGGGTTTGAGTGGGAAGCTGAAAGCCAGGTGTGCAGGCACAGTGCGGGCAGGGGCTTTGGTGGCTCCTTTGGGGCTGCACTTGCACGTATGGGGCACTGCCTTCCTGTGCCTCTACCAGCCTGTTCCCAGAGCGTGCTGCTTTGCCTTCTGGAACTTACAAGTCAGTGCAGAACCTCTCTGTGCAAACAGTGCGTGGAAAGAGAAGCTCTTCTCTGGCACAGGAGTAGGGCATCTTTTCTAAATTTTGAAACAGTTGTAGATATGGTTGCCTTGTTTTAAAAGGGAAAAATACCGCATTATTAGGACACGGAAGCTTTTTGTGGTGTGCTTTTTTGTTTTTGTGGAACTCGCGCGTTAGCTGCGCAGCCGTGCAGAGGCGCCCCTTCCACCACCCTGACCGTCTCCCTCCATCTCTCACCCCGCTCCAGGTCCGGGCTGTTCTGTCTGCCCTCCTCCTTCCCAAAGCCCGAGGACCCTCCTGCCGCTGCCTGCGCCGTTCCTGCTGATCCCACGCGCGGTGAGATGCAGCCGCAGCCCGGGGACGACCAGGTGCCGCCGCTGCTGCCCGCGCCGCCCGGCGTTGTGCCGCCATACCCGCCCTACTTCGAGGGAGCGCCGTTCCCGCGCCCGCTGTGGCTGCGGCACACCTACAGCCAGTGGGTTCCGCAGCCGCCGCCGCGGGCCATCAAGAGGACGCGGCGACGTTTGTCGCGGAACAGAGACCCGGGACGCCTGATCATGAGCACCATCAGGCTGCGGCCCAGGCAGGTGCTCTGCGAGAAGTGTAAAAATACCCTGAACCCCGAGGACGAGAACGCGGCGGGGCAGAACGCTAAAACCAGGAGGAAGCTGGGCGTTCAGGACAAGGAACAGAAAAAGCACAGCGACTCTGAGTGCCTGGAGAAAAGGAACAAAAGAGAGAAGAGAGAGGATGACAAGTTTGCCGGGGAGCTGGTGCATCGCACGCCAGTTATCAAAATATCCTACAGCACGCCGCAAGGGAAAGGCGAGGTGGTGAAGATCCCCTCCCGGGTGCACGGCTCAGTGAAACCGTTCTGTCCTGAACAGCTGCTGCAGAACAGAGAGGAGGACCGGGAGGAGGTCGGAGATGCTGAGCAATGTCAAGAAACCAAGGGCTTCACGGACAAGGCAGTGGGCAGCCAGCTTGCTTCCATCCCCAAACTGAAGCTGACGCGGCCAGTGCATCCCAGTGCTGATGTCCCGCCTCCAAAGATCCGGCTGAAGCCCCATCGCATCAACGACGGCCAGAGCGTTTCTATCTATAAGGCAGAACTTATCGATGAGATAAACGTCCTTCAGAACAGCAGGGAGACGAATCCCAGTGCGTTTTACGCCAGTGAATCGGCAGACAGAGGTTTGGCCGAGATCTCTTCGGGGAGTTCGGGTGAAGATGACGACTTTAAAAGGTTTCCCCAAGGTAAAGACGGACACGAAAACTTGGCTTTCCTTATGAATTACCGGAAGAGAAAAGCGGATTCTTCTAGTTTGTCAGTGTGTAGTAATGACAGTCTAGACGAATCCAAGTCTTCTAGTTCGGAGGTAACATCACCAGAAATGTGTGACTTTTTACCTGGTGATGATGCGTCTGTCTCTTCATCTTCAAAAGATGAGCGTAAAATTGTGCCGCCCTTGACGGTTAGGCTGCATACCCAAAGCGTGTCTAAATGCGTCACTGAAGACGGAAGGACTGTGGCAGTGGGGGATATTGTGTGGGGTAAAATTCATGGATTTCCGTGGTGGCCGGCACGCGTTCTTGACATAAACCTTAGCCAGAAGGAAAATGGGGAGCCTTCATGGCGGGAAGCCAAAGTGTCGTGGTTTGGTTCTCCAACGACTTCATTCTTATCTGTTTCAAAACTTTCTCCTTTCTCTGAATTTTTCAAACTGAGATTTAATCGCAAGAAGAAAGGGATGTATCGCAAAGCCATCACAGAGGCTGCCAAGGCGGTGGAGCACCTGACTCCAGAAATAAGAGATCTCTTAACACAGTTTGAAACATAACTGTGCCACCAGTATCAGGTGAGTGCTTGCTGGGCCAGCGCTTCCTTCGGAGGAGCTTCCATGTCTTTTTTTAACCAACGTTCCACTGTTTGCATTTCTTAAGAACTGATCTCAGCAGTTCTTAGTCTTAAATGCCTGGGTGTGAGCAGGTGGTGGCGATTTCAGAGGCGATAAGAGCTGTTGGCTCCACAGCTTTGGGAGGACTATGGGACCGAGGCCCAAATTGTGAGGGGTGCCCAAAGCAGCTGACCCCTTCAGGAAGCGAGCGGTGTTTGCTCGGAGAGCTGATGGAATTGCAGGGGTAGGAGAGTCGTCTGCAGCTGGGATGTGGTGAGTACTGGTGGTATCTCAGTTGAGGCAGAACTAATCCTGTCAGGCTGAAGGGTCAGCGGCCCCAGGCTGTTTTCTGAACTAAGGCTCTTCCTGGAGTTGAGGTTGTATTTATCACACGTAGGTGCTGATACCAAGTGGTTACCCACAAGAATTAGATGCTTTTGAAGGTCCTTTCTTCCCCTGCAGTTACTGCAACCCTGCACCGTTTATTTCTTATGATGGCACTTTCTTTATGACTATTGAAAATGATGCTACTAAAAACTGGCTGCTGGGGAGCAGTATTTCACAGCCCCTGGCTTGGCTTGCTGCAGCGTTGGTGCATTGCTGCAGGCCGGTCAGGACACCAACTGCTATTCTTTTGGTCTTCACATCGTGGAGCACATAAAATTGGAAACATGAAAATGAGAACTAATTCTTTTTGATGCCTCTGCATTGTACTTCTGCTGGTTGCAAGCGTGGAGGTGGGGAGGCCTCCTCTCACACTAAACAGCAAAACTTTGTCCCTGATGAAAACACAGTAGCTGTGGATGCCGGGCGCAGTGTGGCTGGGAGTGGATGGCTGTGTGTAGCACTGCTGCTGCCTGCCGCACTGAAATCCATGGGGAAAATTCCATCACCTTGAGGAAGATCTAGAACTGTTGCACAACCTTCCAGTCGTAGTTTCCTAGGTGGGACCTCATCTGTGATAGTATTAAACAAGGGGGTGGACTAGTTTTTAATCTGAAAACCATTACTTATCATTGGGCAGAATCTCCTTGTCAAATATACGCCTGTTACAGAGTGTCCTGCAGTGGATTTTACTGGTTGTCCTGTAAGCTTTTCCCCGAGTTTTCTTTCTGATGCCAGGACTGTTTTTGTGCATGTGCCAGTGCTGCTCCTGCTGCGGGCTGCTCACTGCTCTGTACCTCAGCAATTGGAGTGCAGTGCGACTGTGATGGCTAGTGCTCCTATAATCCTGGGGCAAAAAAGGTCTTTTGTATCCTTTGCTGGAGAGCGACAAACTTGCTTGAATTGAGTTATTCCATCCCAACAAGCCTGGTTGGAGTGTGTACTGAGACTGTGGCACGTTCATCTTGTGGGCTCAGGGTTCACAGAATCACCAAGGTTGGAAAAGACCTTCAAGATCATCCAGTCCAACCATCAGTTCTGGACAACTGGACAGTCAGTCAAGTAAGAATATGTAATGGCAGCAGCAGCATTTAAGCTTCGACCTTGATCTTGCTGCTTAATTGTGGCTAGAAGCTTTATTATATTGAGAGTGTTCGGATTTGACCCGAATTTGTTACTAGCTAGATCTGGAGCATAAATAATCCTAATGCTCAGAAGCTGTGTTATGGTGAATAATGGCCAGGATCCACGGCTCCTGGATAAACCGCTCTGGGGCCACGTCAGCAGGTGGATGCTGTTGCCTGCATAGTACTGTGAGCTGTGCTGTCCTGTAGGCACAGAGCAGAGGGGATGGAGCAGGTCTGTAAACTGAGGGCAAAGAGAAGATGATGAGAGCAACGAGAAAATGATGCGATGACATGGCTGCACCGTACCCTTCCTTCCCTGTGAGTTCTTTGGCCAAGCCTTCCCACGTACGTGCAAATGCATAGAGGCATTTACCATGTACTGCTGTTGTGTTGGTGGTCAGCTGGCTTTCTAAAGTTGATTTTCTGCCTTACTTGTGTCTGAGGTGAGCTGCCTGCACGATGATTTGAGAAACAGCTGCATTTACTCAGAAGGAAACGAGAAAAGCAGAACAAAACAACTTCCTGTGTTCCACGTGTGCCATGCTTGCTCAGATTCCCTGCCAAACCCACGTGCTGGGGCTTTGATACGTCACTTGGATGACAGCTCATTGGTTCTGAGCTTTGCCCTCTATCTAGTTCTCTCCCACCAGGACTTTATTGCTTTCCTTGAGTGATCCTAGGGAAGCTCTACTGCGTTTTCACCAGCTGCTAGTTGACTGTTCTTTTCTGAATGCTGTAACTTAACTTTTCTCTCATGCTTGCATTTCCTTAGTCCTAGGACTTGCACACTGACACCTGAGCTACAGTTCGATGTCAGAAGGCTCTGGTCTTTGACAGGCAGCACAGCCTCAGATCAGTTACAGCTGTTTCCAGGAGCAGGCGTGTGGCTGTAATACTGCACTTTGCAGCTGGAAAAGTGCACTGTGTGGTGACTTCTCCAGGAGCTGCACAAGGGCCCCTTGCTGTGCTCAGGAGGTGCGTCCAGCATCTGCACTTTGCTCCTGACCGTCCAGGCACTGCAGAGCTTGGGAGCTGCTGACGCATTCTGTCGTGGATCTCTGCTGACATATGGGGCTGTTCTGTAAGCCATGGAGGGGAACTGCTGGAAAAAACATACAAACCATTCAAGTATTTGCAAATGCATAAAGAACAGCAAGAAACTGGATTTAAAAAAAAAAAAGAAAACTTTTTGGGTTGGAAAAGCTGATATGACAGTTCTGAGTGTTTATTATTCTATCCTTATTCTTTTGCAAGGAGTGTACTTTATTAAAACCCTGTCACTGTCTTTAAGCCAAGGTTTCTGGAAGAACAGCAGGGAGGCTAGCAGCTCGTAAAAGCCACGTCGTAAGACACTTGGTTCACAGGGTAGCCAGGAGAAAAACACGCACTCAGCATGTTCTCAGGCCTTGTAGCTTCTGCTTTTGTAGCCTCTGTGCAGGGCTGCCACCAGCCTGGCACTGTGTGCGCTGCAGAGATGGCTCCTGCTTCACAGCTGAGTTTGTGCTGGTGCCACAGCGCTGATGCTGGCTCTGCTGGCTCTGAGGCTGAAGGCCGTTGTTAACAGCAGTGCCTGAAAGCAGTGACAGCACCAGCAGATGTGAGCTGGCCTCCCTGGCCTGGGCCTGCCCTGCTGGCTGTCAGGTCTCACGTTCCCTGGGCTTGGAGCCAGTGCTTGGCCCGGCCCTTACTTGGCACTGCTCCTACTGCAGGGCCTGGAAAAGTGGGTGCCTGGGATTGTGGAGGGCATCGGCTCTGCCGGTCCTTTGGAGGCCCTTTGGTGCCGTCCAAAGTCCCAGCTGGGGGTGGGCTGTGTGCTGCCCAGCTGAAGGGGGAGGACGGTTCAGGCTCAGGTCTGGCCCTGCAGCCCTGGGGCGTCTGTGGCAACATGGGGGCAGGAGGCTGCTGGGAACAGGACGCTGGTGTCCCTGAACCTGGTCAGCCTGCGAGGTGCCCTGCGGCAGCAGCTGGCGATGCTAGAAATACAGTGGGGAACTTGCCTTTCGTGTACCAAAGTGGCTGCTGTGGAGAGCTGAGCTCTTGGTGATCTGAGCTATGGACTATAGGTTGGGGGGAAAGAAATAAAAGCCAGAAGAAACAGGCTGAAATATGGAGTGAAAGAGACTGACCTCAGCACCGTCTGCCTGGAGTGACGGCTGGGAGGCTTTTACAGACCTGGGGCGAATTCTTGTGTTGTCCTCAGCCCCGTTCGGGTCTGGGATTGGTCTGCAGAGGTGGGGGGTGGCAGAAGGGCTTTGTGGGGAGTGGTGAGGCTGCAGCTGGGTGCTGGGGATGCATTTCTCAACAGCCTCCACTGCGGGATGTGCCCAGGAGCCGGGCCCCATGTGCGTGGCACTGCAGCCTGACTGTGCGCTCCATAGCTGATGCTCTCCTGAGGACAGGAAGCTTTCTTGCACTGTTGCATTTGCTTTCTGCTCGCTTTTTTGATAACATCATATTTGAACTTTGTATTTAGTCCTGCAGCTGCATAAAGTTGAAGTTCCTAGAGCTAAACAATTGCTTTTCTGTTATCTTTCGCAATGATTAAAAAGCCAGCTTATCTCAGATTTTATAAAGGCAGCTCTTTAATAGTAAAGCTCTTTACAAAAACTGCTGTAGACTTTCGTATTTGTCTCTATGTGGAACAAGCTTACAGTATGTATATCCATTTTCATTTCCCCCTTTATTCCCCCTTGCCCCCAGGTGTGTTGTGACTGTGATACCATTAAATGTTAAAAAGCTGCCTTTCTGAGGATTTTTGTTGTTCTGCTATTAGCTAATAGACCCTCCACATCCGTCCGTTCAGCCATTCGTCAACAAAGCACCCTGCAACTGCATCCAGCAGAAATCAAAGCTTATTGCGTGCCTGCTATATATAGTAAGCTCTAATGTAAAATTTGGAACGTTGGGTTATGACTTCACCTTCAAAGATGTTCAGGGCTCCGTATGCGCATGCAGCCAGTGCTGCTTGCCAGCACTTCATGAAGCAACATAAACCAGCCTTCTTTTTCCTTTTACTCCTTCTCTCTGCTCTACCAGTGGCACCAAAAAGGTTATATAACTGCATAGAAAGCTGTGGTAGCTGTAGTTCTAAAAACACCTACCTGGTCACGTGGAATATTTCAGCCCAGAAGAGGAGTGCTGAGATTTTTCTTGGCCTTGTTTCTGGATGGTTCAGTCAACTAAAACCAAGCATCCTGCTTAATTACTGCCTCTCAAAAGTCTTCCTTCAGACAGCTTGGAGTCAGCGTTGTGTACACTGACACAAAGTGGGAGAACAAGTCTGGAGCAGCCTGCACTGCATACCTCTGTGCCTGGTGCTGGGGACTGCAGTTGCAGCTCTGGCAGCAGCCTGCTGATGGCCCTGCTTCTCAGAGCGCTTGGGCGTTTGTGACCACTGCTGCTGCATTTGCAGACATCTGGATCTGAGTTCGTGCCGCCTTCTGCCCCTTT